GTTCGGTTGTAGTGAGAAAGCAATCCAATCTAACAGACCAACGAACCAGGCTATATCACAATGTATGATGGGTAATTACGTAAATTCCGTGAAAAGCATTAGCTTTGTTGTTTTGCTAATACCTCCAAATGAACCTGTGAATGTCTGTGGGTGAGCACGTCTTCGCCCAAATGAAAGCGCACTTTTTCATTTTATAATGCCCTCTTATTGCGCTTCTTCGTAGTAGGTGCATTTTAAAAAAAAATTCCCGATGAATCCTGGACTCCAGAATTAATATAACTGACGGATGACAGCCTTGACAGCTAAGTGGAATCCCGGAAAATAAACCATGGAACTTTGACCAATGAGAGAACAGTTTACTCGCGCGTGACTTGTATTAACAAATTTGGTCCGTTTCCAAACTTTGCCGTGTGAAAGCGAACCACACCAAGAATAAAAAGCAACATTGTAATAATTTAAATCCCTGTTTCGGAACAAAGCAATCGATCAACAGGTGTGAAAGTTGTTTTCAATTTAGAAAATATTAGTGTTGTGTGAGACCTATTTCATGAGAATTACTATTAGGTGATGTGTATCCATTAAAAAAGGACGTATAATGCTTTAGGATTTTGTCCGTACACACTAATGTTTAAAATGACTCATACCTGATTCATTTTGTGTTTGTGTTCTACAGACGGCCACACGAAATGCAGAACGGGAAATTGAAATTTTAAAGAAAATTGATCATGTAAGTCATGAATGAGTCTTTAAATGCTACAGAGCTATAGATAAAACATCTCATCGTATTTCTCGTCCCTGCAGCCGTGCCTGATCAAGACAGAAGATTTCTACCAGACAGAAGATTCTTACTACATTGTTTTGGAGTAGTAAGTTCCTGTGGCGTTTTGTTGGAGAATAGTTAGCAACATGAACTCGCAGGCCGAATTAACTTGGGTACAGATTATTTCTATCTGTATTTGTATTTTTAGATCCTTTAAAGAAAAGTTGCCGTGAGTTGCTAGACAAGGAAGCACTGCATATTCTTACCTGTTCTACACAATTGTCAGTCTTTTTTTTTTTTCCAAATGTTTTAAACATGTTTTTTGATGAGTTATTTCATTATCTCTGTGCTGTGAATAGTGTTGAAGGAGGAGAGCTGTTTGGCAGGATCAAGGCCAAGAAACAGCTGGAGGAAGAAGTCGCCAAACTCTACTTTTATCAAATGCTCAGGGCTGTGGAGGTACGTCTTTATGAGAGATGCTTCAAACGGTGTCTTCCTCTAAATGTGTTTTTTAAATGAGCACATGCATGAACCTGCACTGCTTCCCCATAGACAGTCAAACCGTTCAAATCAGTCAACTGACCATTTAGAATGGAGAAAGACTGCTTTGTAGTACCATGTTGAAATGGCAACTACCAACTCAAAATTTTAGTTAAAAAATTGTTTTTGAAAAAATTTAAAGTAAATACAATAAAAATAGGAATATTGTGAAATATTATTACAATTTAAAAGAACTGTTTTCTGTTTGAATACATTTTAAAATGTAAGTTATTCCTTGAATAAATTCATAATTTCAGCAAAGCTGAATTTTCTGCATCATTACTCCAGTCTTCAGTATCACATGATCCTTCAGAAATCATTCTAATATGCTGCTTTGAGGCTCAGGAAACGTTTATTATTATTATCAATGTTTGAAAAAGTTGTGCTGATTAATATTTTAGTGGAAAATTTTATTTCAGAATTCTTTGATGAATAGAACGTTCAAAAGAAGATTAAAAAAATTGAAAATATTATATTTTAAATAACAAATATTTTGATTGAATGAAAATATCTTTACTGTGACTTCTGATCAATTTAATGCATCCTTGCTGAATAAAAAAAATAATATATATATATATATATAAACCTTACTGACCCCGAACTTTTTTATTGAGTATGTCTAATGGTTACTAAAAAGTTGAAAGTTTATTATTTTATTTTTTTTGGTTGATATATATATTTTTATCATTATTTTTATGTCGTGGCTGATAACCTATAAATGTCATTATTATAAAACTATACTATTTGGTTTAAAAAAAGAAATACTCTTAAGAACTAAGGCTACGTCCACACGAAGCCAGAGCTTTCCCTATCCGATCTTTTTTTCTCTCCTCGTCCTAAGAAATATCTGCGTCCACACGAAACCGACACAAAACACTGTAGTATACATGCCAGACCAGTATGTGGCGCTATAATTCTGCCACAGAGATACACTAAAAACGGAGAAGACTTGGACTATGCGCATAAACCTTGCGCGCGGTATACAAACGAACATGGAACAAAACATTTATTAATCTGTGTTAATGTTAGTTAATAAAAAGACAATCGTTCAGTGTTTGTTCATGTTTTTGTTGCTGTTATGTGACGTAACGGTGTCTCACCAGGGGCGAGACGTGGCCTGATGACGTCATCTTTTCAGAAAATATACGGATTCGCTGTCTATTTCATTATCTCTGTGCTGTGAATAGTGTTGAAGGAGGAGAGCTGTTTGGCAGGATCAAGGCCAAGAAACAGCTGGAGGAAGAAGTCGCCAAACTCTACTTTTATCAAATGCTCAGGGCTGTGGAGGTACGTCTTTATGAGAGATGCTTCAAACGGTGTCTTCCTCTAAATGTGTTTTTTAAATGAGCACATGCATGAACCTGCACTGCTTCCCCATAGACAGTCAAACCGTTCAAATCAGTCAACTGACCATTTAGAATGGAGAAAGACTGCTTTGTAGTACCATGTTGAAATGGCAACTACCAACTCAAAATTTTAGTTAAAAAATTGTTTTTGAAAAAATTTAAAGTAAATACAATAAAAATAGGAATATTGTGAAATATTATTACAATTTAAAAGAACTGTTTTCTGTTTGAATACATTTTAAAATGTAAGTTATTCCTTGAATAAATTCATAATTTCAGCAAAGCTGAATTTTCTGCATCATTACTCCAGTCTTCAGTATCACATGATCCTTCAGAAATCATTCTAATATGCTGCTTTGAGGCTCAGGAAACGTTTATTATTATTATCAATGTTTGAAAAAGTTGTGCTGATTAATATTTTAGTGGAAAATTTTATTTCAGAATTCTTTGATGAATAGAACGTTCAAAAGAAGATTAAAAAAATTGAAAATATTATATTTTAAATAACAAATATTTTGATTGAATGAAAATATCTTTACTGTGACTTCTGATCAATTTAATGCATCCTTGCTGAATAAAAAAAATAATATATATATATATATATAAACCTTAATGACCCCGAACTTTTTTATTGAGTATGTCTAATGGTTACTAAAAAGTTGAAAGTTTATTATTTTATTTTTTTTTGGTTGATATATATATTTTTATCATTATTTTTATGTCGTGGCTGATAACCTATAAATGTCATTATTATAAAACTATACTATTTGGTTTAAAAAAAGAAATACTCTTAAGAACTAAGGCTACGTCCACACGAAGCCAGAGCTTTCCCTATCCGATCTTTTTTTTTTCCCCTCGTCTCAAGAAATATCTGCGTCCACACGAAACCGACACAAAACACTGTAGTATACATGCCAGACCAGTATGTGGCGCTATAATTCTGCCACAGAGATACACTAAAAATGGAGAAGACTTGGACTATGCGCATAAACCTTGCGCGCGGTATACAAACGAACATGGAACAAAACATTTATTAATCTGTGTTAATGTTAGTTAATAAAAAGACAATCGTTCAGTGTTTGTTCATGTTTTTGTTGCTGTTATGTGACGTAACGGTGTCTCACCAGGGGCGAGACGTGGCCTGATGACGTCATCTTTTCAGAAAATATACGGATTCGCTGTCCACACAAAAACGCAAGGGCGGCGTTTTCAGATTTATCCGCTCTTGGACCCGGTTTCTAAAAATATCGGTTTCACTCTCCCAAAACGCCGGATCCGTGTGGACGAAACGCCTATACGATACAAAATTTATGCGTATACAGCTAAACGCGTCTCCATGTGGACGGGGCCTAAAATTTGTAGTTATATGCTGTAAAGTAATATCACACTATGATAAATGTTAATGATTAATCATTTTAAAAGCAACTACTAAAAATTTCCCATTTCAAAACTATATTATTGAAGGTTGTACTTTTTTCAAAAAACAATTAACTAATTTTTATGCCCGTTACTTGTGTGCAGAATCTCATGCCAGTGTGCTTTTAAAGGAAAAGTGCTCTTCAAGACAAAGATCCGTGTGGACAAAACGCCTATACGATACAAAATTTATGCGTATACAGCTAAACGCGTCTCCATGTGGACGGGGCCTAAAATTTGTAGTTATATGCTGTAAAGTAATATCACACTATGATAAATGTTAATGATTAATCATTTTAAAAGCAACTACTAAAAATTTCCCATTTCAAAACTATATTATTGAAGGTTGTACTTTTTTTCAAAAAACAATTAACTAATTTTTATGCCCGTTACTTGTGTGCAGAATCTCATGCCAGTGTGCTTTTAAAGGAAAAGTGGTCTTCAAGACAATATGCATTTAGCAGATAAAACAACTTACAATAGAGGTGCAAAAGCAATTTGCCACAGAACCAACAATATTTCTACAGTGTATAATGCCAGGTTTATTAGAAAACCAAACCAGGAGACAAGGTATAGCAGTAAGAACAAATTTCAAACATGTTCTGTTATATTCTCTCCAGTATCTCCACAATAACGGGATTATTCATCGAGATCTCAAGCCTGAGAATGTGCTGCTGGCTTCACATGACGACATCTGTTTGATTAAGGTGTGTTTGCCTGAGAGCTTTGAAACTGACGTAGCTTTAGCCTCAGATTCTGACATCGTTCTCCTTTAATTGTCGCAGTTCCAAAGTTCAGAGATCCAGCCAAGCTTTGTCTTTGTAGTTGAAACAGGATGCACAGAAATAATCCTGAACCTGAGATAACCTGCTTTCCTCACACATGTGAATTCTCAATGCTTTGTAGATTACGGATTTTAATCAGTCCAAGATTTTGGAGGAATCCTCCTTGATGAAGACGCTCTGCGGGACGCCCACCTATCTCGCCCCGGAGGTGTTCACACACGCTGCGACTGTAGGATATACAAAAGCAGTCGATTACTGGAGCCTGGGGGTCCTACTGTTCATCTGGTTAGTAGAGATTAAAGTTGAATGAGTAAATATGAATCAGTTAATTCTACTTAAAGGAGTAGTTCATCTAAAAATTAAATGAAATGGTCATCATTTACTTGTCTTTTCTAGGGTTGCAAAAAGGTGGAAAATTTCCAGTAAATTTCAAAAACATTCCAGTAATTTGGAAACTTCCGGGAATTTTTGGAAAGTTTCCCGGAAATTTACCAGACATTTTCCACCCCTTTGCAACCCTAGTCTTTTCCGAACCCATTTGACTTTTTTTCTTCCACACAAAAAGTGAATTACAGTATATGGGAACGTTACCCTGTCTGCTCTATTAAATATGATGAAAGTGAATGAGGACTGGGGCTGTCAAGCTTCAAAAAAAAGATGCAAAAGTATCATAAATGTAGGCAGTATGACTGGTACACTACATTCTAAAACGTTTCACATTTATTTATACAGTGTTTTACTTGCATAATGCAGATTGTTTTAAAGCAGCCTCACTGAAATGTAGATTAAATTAACTAGATTTAGACTAGATTAACTAGTTTTATTCAAGTCAAAAATATTATTTCATGTCATTAAATCAACCTAAATATATAAATTTTTTCCATCAAAACTACCTTATAATATGGTTAAATCAGGTAGAAAATGGCTCTTTAAAGTAACAATTGCAGGTTACTATTTTTTGCAGTGCAGTAATAAACCAGAAAATAACAGCTTTTATGTTGAAATTCTTCAATTATGAAACAAATGCAGTTGTAAAGAAGCTGTAAAAAGACAATTATGTGTCATTATTCAGCTTAACACATAGATGTTGATTCAGTTTAGTACATGAAGTGTGAAACTTTGTTAGACAATAGACAATAAAATCTCGGTTCAGTTTTGCTTCAGTTTAGTTCAATAATAGTGCAAAGGTCATACAATTCTGAGAAGTTGAATTCAGCTATAATCAGCTCTACAGAAGATAATAGTGTCATTATTGAGCTTTTGTATATGGAACAGACTATATTGGGGCAGTCGTGGCCTAATGGTTAAGGAGTCGGACTTGTAACTCAAAGGTCGTGGGTTCGAGTCTCCGGTCCGGCAGGAATTGTCGTGGGGGGGGTTAATGTACAGCTCTCTTTTCCACCCTCAATACCATGACTGAGGTGAGACCCTTGAGCAAGGCACCTAACCACACAAGTCACTTCATTATTTGTTATTCACTGGTAATCTTCATCTCCAGTGAACTCTTAATTGCTACAACTGGATCATTAATTCAGTGAGTCAAACTTGAGAACCAGATCAGTCTGACTTGTGAATGAATCATTCAGACCAGTTTTTGTAATTGGATCAAACGGTCCTTTCATGAATGTGAGAGTAAAATTTCTAATACAAAAATCTTTTGTGTAGCTTCACAAGTAGTGTGGAGAATTTTATTATTATTGAATCTAGTAAATCTTAGTCAGTAAATTTTATTGGGGCAAAAGTCACTCAAGGTTTGGAATGACATGAGGGTGAGGAATTATGAAATCTATTAATTTCAATGATTATATCTTGCAAATGCTTGCAAAATGCTGTAAAAAAGGAATTGGTCATTAGCCGGGTTTCAATCCAAAATTGCGAATTTAAATTATGTGCAAAACTGGAATATCGCATAAAACATTTGCGAACAAGCATCGTTTCCATCCAACAAGTCAAAGAGAACAAAATCGTCACTTCCTGATAAACTGGCACTATAAATCACTAAGAAAAGTAGGAGACTATAATAATTTTCATATATAATAAATTACTTGCGCCTCAGTTTTGCCGTCCCATAGCGCAAAGTCACATGACTTTTTTGGTGCGCTTGGAGGAATTTATTCGCAAAATGCATTTCCATCTCCCATTATTCGCATCAACCCTTTTTCGCACAAGTCAAAAATCACCTCAGGCGAGCGTAAAAACTTTTTTGCGAATTAAGGGATTTTTATTCGAAATTTTACGTTTCCATCACTCATTTTTCATGCGATACTTCAAAATGGGCATTAAAACAGGGTGATGGAAACATAGCTATTGTTAATTCTGCATGAATTAATATTCACAAATGAGACCTTATTGTAAAGTGTTACCGAAAATACTTTTATAGTATTCATAAATGACTGGAAAAGTCAATCCATTGGTCGAAACGTAATCGAAACTCATGCAAACTGAGCTTGGATGAACATATGAATGTATGACATTTTTTCCCAAAGCTGTGTGTGTATCTGTATTGTCATAGTTTGGGTGGTTATCCTCCATTTAACTCCGAGTGCTCCACCATGTCGGTGCGTGAACAGATCATTAACGGCCACTACCGCTTCATCCCATCTCAGTGGAAGAAGGTCTCAAATGAAGGTAATGTCTTTGCTCTCCATTGACAATTGAATAGTTTAATAGCATGTACGTCATATCAGTTTATATTGTCAGAGATATTTAAACTTAAAAGCATACAGTGTAAGTTATATATTTACTTTGTCTTTCAGCCAAAGATTTGATCAAGAAGCTCCTAGTTGTGGATCCTGAAAAGCGTCTGAGCGTGGAAGAGGCGCTGACACATCCGTGGTTGAACGTGCGTGCTGAAAAACCCACTAACTAAACAAATGTGGTTGAGCATTATTCAGCTAGGATTGATAGTTGTCAACCTTTTAATAGTGTTTGAAATGTGATCGCTTTAAGTAAAATAAAAAACAGCATTCTGCAAATTTATAATATTATGTCTGTGTAACAGGATGAGGAGATGAGAAACACTGCAAACCAACTGATGCAGTGTGAAACATCCAAGGTACAACAACAAAAAACAGTGCATGAGGCTGCATGTGGATTTTTCTTCAGGATAAAAGTGCTAAAAAAATGTACAGTAGTTGTAATTGTTTTCTATTACAGAGCTAAAGTCTAGGAATTCAAATTCAAATTCAAATTCAAAATGTATTACAACATTGACTAGATGCACACGGATACATCTGTCATTAAAAACTAAATGTGATTTAAATTTTCATCACAGAACCGTGAGGCAGAAGAGGAAGAAGAGGCAGAAGAGGAAGAAGAGGCAGAAGAGGCAGAGGGGGAGCCGCCATCCAAAAGGAAGCCTGGGCCTTGACTTGCACACACTTAGTTGTTTCCTGGCGCCCTTTTAAAAGCTCTTTCCTGCAACCAATTCATTCTGAACGTCTAACACTGTACTGACTTTGTAAATATGTATTTCTACCATTTCCTGTGTCCAAAATAAAAGCTTTTAAAATGTTCTACTCTGAGTTTATTACTTTTAACTCATCAAAAATCTTGTTTATTCATTTAGCAGACAATTCTAGCAACATGAAAAATATTTTCTTTCCACTTGGATTATGCAGGGATTGTACAGGTGCTGGAAATCCTTGAAAGTGCTTGCATTTTAATAAGGTGTTTTCGAGGTTTGAAAAGTGCTTGGATTTTGGGTAAAGTGCTTAAAACTTATTGAAATTGCAATTGCATTGCTTTCATAATAAATCTTACTGAATTTTACAGTTTGAAACATGATACATGTTTTCCTTTAATTTGTCACCCTTCTGTAGAATGCTATCACATTATTAATAGCACAATAATATATGATTTATCATGAATGTGTATGTAAACATGCAATTTACCTCAGTTGTAAAGAGCTGGAAAACCATGAAAATGCTTGAAAAGTGCTTGAATTTGACTTTGGAAAAGGTGTAAGAACCCTGATTATGGTGCGTTATCTTAGCAGTAGATAGCCAAATTAAGAATATTGGTTTTCAAGAGGGAAAAAAACGTTTTTCACGTTAAAGGGGTCATATGATGCGATTTCAATTTTTCCTTTCTCTTTGGAGTGTTACAAGCTCTTGGTGCATAAAGAAGATCTGTAAAGTTGCAAAGACTAAAGTCTCAAATCCAAAGAGATATTCTTTATAAAAGTTCAGAGTCAGCCACACCTACCTAAAACGGCTTGTTCTAACACGCCCCCACATATCTACCTCACTATGTGGGAAGATTTGCATAACGCCGCCCAAATGTTCACGCAAAGAAAGAAGGCATAACTTTTATTCTCGCTGTAGTATTGTTGACGCTGTAGCCATGTCGTGAAGACGCTGTATGCTTCGTTGTGAAAGCGAAACTACTTTGTTTGGTCTTCCAAAAGAGTACGATATCCACTTTGTCATACCTAGAGCTGATCTGTGCTGGTCGCTGAGGGAATACATCAACTTTCACCATGGGCGAAGCGGAGTCCAGCCCGGGGTCGTCACATATGGTTGCCGCTCATTCGTCGGATCCGCCAGGCGCGCCGTTCTCGATGCCGCCGCCTCAGCTCACTCTTGCCCGGCCTCGGCTCACGCTAGCCCGGCCTCAGCGCACGCTAAGCCGTTGTATTTTTCGTTGTGAAAGCGAAACTACTTTGTTTGGTCTTCCAAAAGAGGACACAACTACAAATCAGTGGTTAAGTTGTATTTACAACACTGTTCCAGAACAGTTTGATTAATATGTGGTTTAAACTGAAACATGTTGGCCTGGTTTCACAGACAGGCTTTAGACTTAGCCAGGATTAGTTCAATTAGGACATCTATGTAATTTCTATAATCATAAACGTCTGCATCTTGAGACAAAACAAAGGCACTGATATATCAGTCAGTGCAAGTTTCTTTCGGCTGAAACCACTCAGACTTGCATTTTACTCTGGGACTAGGCTTAAGCCTTGTATTTGAAACCGGGGGTTTAAGTAGCCTTTGCATTTTTATTTATTTATTGTTTGTTTTGTTTGTTGATATAATTTTTGCTTTTTGAAATATGTACGCAAGGTTTTCTAAATGAATAAATGTAATGTTTTTGTGCATAGGGTTATAAATTCTCAAGGGGAGCAGAAAATGTAAAAAAGACTAAAGCTGTAGTGCAGAAAAGTGGTTCAGTGTTATGACATTTGGAATGAATAAACATAAAATAAATAAACATGATTTTTACTGTCAGTCATGCAACCCAACATATGATGGAGAGCTTGTTGCACATGTCAATCAAGACTTGATTACATATATTCTTGCGCAAAAATATCAATACAAACGGCTACATTTAAGAATGTATTTATTTATAAAAGAAATGGCACATTATTTAATTGTGTGCATTATATTTGTGAATTCATTGAGTGTATTGAGAGCAAAAGATATGAATTTGTGAGAAGTCGGTTCAGTTACAGTAACGGTTTTGTACTGATTTTTGGCACAAAAAAAATAGTTGTATCTAAACTAAGTTAAGTAACTTGTTGGTCTGACGTGCTGTTTTCTCATTTGCTACATGTATTCCGGGTATGAAAGTCAATATTGCACAAATACAGATACAAAAGATCCTGCTACATTTATGTGGAACTGGCACAGCTTTAGCAGGGTATTGAGTGGATAAAATATAGAAATCTTCTTCATTCCTCTAAAAACATAATAAATTTGAACTGTTCCCCCCTCAAAATTCACTCCCAGGAGTCAGTTTAGCTTTTCTGTTTTTCTTTTATAATCCTACATTATATCATAGTCAGCTTCAGTCATGGTGTCCTGCATACCATTGCAAAGACACATGGTATGCAGGGCAACTGTGTCATACTGGCTGGGACATCCTGTAATTTGGTGGAATTGTAGACAATGTCCTTCATGGGACACTGTGGTCCTGTGTCAAACCCTAAGTAAACTCCCCACACACATACACACACACACACACACCTACCTTAAATCATTTCACACATTGTACATATTCACAGCTTTTTCTATATTGATGTTTCTGTTATCAGATCTGTTTCTGGCACATTGGATCAGTGGGTTACCCCATCCCAACTGAGCCAGGAGGCCTTTATGTGAATTTGTTTGTTCTCCCTGTGTTCTCATGGCTTTCCTCCATGTACTCCGTGATTTGAAGACGTCTGGGACGACACACACACACACACACACACACCTACCTTAAATCATTTCACACATTGTACATATTCACATCTTTTTCTATATTGATGTTTCTGTTATCAGATCTGTTTCTGGCACATTGGATCAGTGGGTTACCCCATCCCAACTGAGCCAGGAGGCCTTTATGTGAATTTGTTTGTTCTCCCTGTGTTCTCATGGCTTTCCTCCATGTACTCCGTGATTTGAAGACGTCTGGGACGTCCTGTGATTTGGTCAATTTTAAGTATGTAACAAATGGGATGTCCTGGTCCTGTATCAAACCCGAAGTCACATCACAACCACGCCCCGGCCCGTCCCCTATTAAAGGGGCGAATCGACTGAGACATCCCAAACAGGAATACTTCTTGTTTCTACAGGACTCACAATTTGACTATGGCTGGCAGACAGGCAGTGAAAGCTTATTTAGATCTCGTGTCTCAGGCCTGCAGGGCTGTACTAATATTCCTCAAAGACAACAAAATACCACACACGGTGGAAAACATTGCCTTACGAAAAGGTGAGCAACGTTATTGTGCGTGTGTTGTTCAGTGGAGGCTGTGAGAGCCGTTTTGAATGCATTTGTAAAGTCCAGATGATTTTAAATCCAGACCTATATAAACGTTATTCTGAATATAATGTGTTAATATTTGTTGCCAGAACTCTTTATGAATTCAAACTTCATTTCATTTGTTGAACTTCACAACTTTAATGCTCTTGAACTTGAATCTCTAGCTCAGCAGAAAACACCTGAGTTCGCCAAACTCAACCCCATGCAAAAACTGCCAGTCTTAGAGGACAACGGATTTGTTCTCACTGAGAGGTAAGAAGAGAGAGTGTAGCTAGAAAAACAGATCAAGTGTGTGATATTCTTCTAAGCTTTGGTTTTGTGTCACAGTGATGCCATATTGAAGTATCTGGCAATAGCCTATAATGTCCCTGATCACTGGTACCCCAAAATGCCAGAGAAGAGAGCCAGAGTGGATGAGTACACAGCGTGGAATCATGCCAACATGCGCACACACATTTCCTCCATCTTCCTGCACGAGGTAGGGTTTGACGTGGTTAGTTGACATGACATTTCAAGCAGCGACGTTGTTCTTCATCTATAACCGTTTTAAACCACATTTACCTGATTTTGACCCTGATTTTGGAAGACTTCACAGGTTTTGTATTCCTGTACAGGTTTTACTGCCACGCATGGGACAACCGGCAAATCCAGAGAAACTTAAAAAGGTACTGGCAGACCTGGATGGCACACTGGACAAGCTGGAAAACGTGTTTCTGAAGAACCAGGCCTTCCTGTGTGGTGACGACATCTCATTGGCTGACCTTTTAGCAGTTTGTGAGCTCATGCAGGTGAGAGCTTAGAGCTGCTAAACGTACTGTGAATGTTCCCACAGACCAGTTATAAAGAAGTCTTACCTGTCTTACTTCACCTGTCTTGAGATGTTTGGTAACATCTAAGCTATAGGGCTGAAGAGCTTTAAAATACATTCTCTTGTCTCGTTCAGCCTCTGTGCAGTGGGAGGGACATTCTGAAGGACAGACCCAAACTGCTGAGCTGGAGGAGTCAAGTCCAGTCAGCGCTCTCGGATTCCTTTGAAGAAGCTCACTCTGTTGTCTATCAAATAAGAGAGAAGTTCACAGCTAAACTGTCTCCCTGTTCAAATCAAGACACTCTGTAAAGATATGTTTCACAACTAGTCACAGCGTTTCTGCAGTTTACTTTATGGGATCAATGATGTATCTGTCTGACCAATGCAGTTTGCTCAGTTTACTCAATGTATTCACTTGTGGTTGTGCAATTTCTAATACAATGTATGTGGAACATACTAAGCCATTTTTTTTAGGAATGAATCTAATGGCTTACAATTATTTATGTCATACATTTTCAAAAGCAGTAAATATAAATGTAATTATTAATGACACAAAACTGAGTCACAGCGTTTCTGCAGTTTACTTTATGGGATCAATGATGTATCTGTCTGGCCAATGCAGTTTGCTCAGTTTACTCAATGTATTCACTTGTGGTTGTGCAATTTCTAATACAATGTATGTGCAACATACTAAGCCATTTTTTTTAGGAATGAATCTAATGGCTTACAATTATTTATGTCATACATTTTCAAAAGCAGTAAATATAAATGTAATTATTAATGACACAAAACTACAACCATATATAAAGAAAAGTGGTACAATGTTAAGACATTCAGGATCAATGGACTTTCCCAAAAATAAAACATAGAGTAAATAAAAAACAGACTCAATTGTTGTTGTGGGTTTTTCAGAGTGATATAATATAAAATACTGTTAAAATATAATAGTGAAAATAAAGATGAATGACGAATGCCTCACATTCCATCCCAGTAGGTGGCAGAAAATGCACCTAAAGCTGGTTTGCCAACCTCCATTAAAGGTCAAAGAAGAAGAAAAAGTTAGCGATGCATATATCAGTGCGTTCCTAACGGGATATATCGCCCTCCAAAGGGCACTTCGGAGTGAAAACGATCATGGCCGCCATATTGAAGGGTCGTTCCAAACCAAAGTGCTCAAAACTGGCCACTTCAAAGGGCCCTTCGGAATGAAAGATTTCGAAGGGTACAACTGATGGACACTTTGGGCTCCCATGATCCTTTGCGCAGATTCTTTGCATGATGACTGCGCCTCCATGTGGGCCCGTGATGATGACGCAGAAGGGCACTTCAAGAAACAGTTGTTTGGTCCCCTACACCCTTCAACCCTTCGAAGCTCTCACTCCGAAGGGTAAACCCTTTGAAGGGATTAGGGCATAGGGATGAGCCCTTCCGAATGGAACGCAGGGTATATTAAAGGGGTCATATGATGCTGCTAAAAAGAACATTCTTTTGTGTATTTGGTGTAATGAAATGTGTTTATGTGGTTTAAGGTTAAAAAAACACATTATTTTCCACATACTGTACATTATTGTTTCTCCTCTATGCCCCGCCTTTCTGAAAAGCGTCGATTTTTACAAAGCTCATCTGTCTGAAAAAGCGAGGAGTGCTCTGATTGGCCAGCTATCCAGTGCGTTGTGATTGGCCGAATACCTCAAGCGTGTGACGGAAATGTTACGCCCCTCACCATATTGTGATGCCCTGTCCGGCCGGAGCGATGAGACAAAAACATTAAAACCCATTACAAACAAAGCACTTGTTGCATCCAGTGGGGACATAATTATGGATTATAATGACTATACTGTCTTTTTATGCATTACATCGGGCCGCGTAAACATAAAACCATGTCTGCATTTGTGATCGGAGAAATGACAAATAACAAGTGCTACTCTACACTGCCCATAAAACTTGCGTTTGAATCGTCAGTGGCAAATTCTTTAAATATAAAAAACTTACTTACAGTCTGTGAGTCAGAACAGCCGGCATTGTAGTCAGGATCAGGAAACCTCCATAAAAGTCCTCCATAAAATGCACTGGACACATCTGAATATTTGGGTTAAACTGTTCTGGAACAGTGTTGTAAATACAACTTAACCACTGATTTCTAGTCGTGTCCTCTTTTGGAAGGCC